CAGACCAGCTAACCACTCTCTCTACTTGACCCTGAACAGACCAGCTAACCACTCTCTCTACTGGTCACTGAACAGACCAGCTAACCACTCTCTCTACTGGTCACTGAACAGACCAGCTAACCACTCTCTACTGGACACTGAACAGACCAGCTAACGCTCTCTCTACTGAACCCTGAACTCACTAGCTAACCACTCTCTCTACTGAACCCTGAACAGACCAGCTAACCACTCTCTCTACTGGACCCTGAACTCACCAGCTAACCACTCTCTCTACTGAACCCTGAACAGATCAGCTAACCACTCTCTCTACTGAACCCTGAACAGACCAGCTAACCACTCTCTCTACTGAACCCTGAACAGACTAGCTAACCACTCTCTCTACTGAACCCTGAACTCACCAGCTAACCACTCTCTCTACTGAACCCTGAACTCACTAGCTAACCACTCTCTCTACTGAACCCTGAACTCACCAGCTAACCACTCTCTCTACTGGACCCTGAACTCACCAGCTAACCACTCTCTCTACTGGACCTTGAACAGACCAGCTAACCATATTCTCTACTGAACCCTGAACAGACCAGCTAACCACTCTCTCTACAGGACCCTGAACAGACCAGCTAACCACTCTCTCTACTGGACCCTGAACAGACCAGCTAACCACTCTCTCGACTGGACCTTGAACAGACCAGCTAACCATATTCTCTACTGAACCCTGAACAGACCAGCTAACCACTCTCTCTACAGGACCCTGAACAGACCAGCTAACCACTCTCTCTACTGGACCCTGCGCAGACCAGCTAACCATATTCTCTACTGAACCCTGAACAGACCAGCTAACCACTCTCTCTACAGGACCCTGAACACACCAGCTAACCACTCTCTCTACTGAACCCTGAACAGACTAGCTAACCACTCTCTCTACTGAACCCTGAACAGACTAGCTAACCACACTCTCTACTGAACCCTGAACAGATCAGCTAACCACTCTCTCTACTGGACCCTGAACAGACCAGCTAACCACTCTCTCTACTGGACCCTGAACAGACCAGCTAACCACTCTCTCTACTGAACCCTGAACAGACCAGCTAACCAATCTCTCTACTAGACCCTGAACAGACCAGCTAACCACTCTCTCTACTGAACCCTGAACAGACCAGCTAACCACTCTCTCTACTGAACCCTGAACACACCAGCTAACCACTCTCTCTACTGAACCCTGAACAGACCAGCTAACCACTCTCTGTACTGAACCCTGAACAGATCAGCTAACCACTCTCTCTACTGAACCCTGAACAGACTAGCTAACCACTCTCTGTACTGAACCCTGACCAGACCAGCTAACCACTCTCTCTACTGGACACTGAACAGACCAGCTAACCACTCTCTACTGGACACTGAACAGACCAGCTAACCACTCTCTCTACTAAACCCTGAACACACCAGCTGACCACTCTCTCTACTGGACCCTGAACAGACCAGCTAACCACTCTCTCTACTGAACCCTGAACAGACCAGCTAACCACTCTCTGTACTGAACCCTGAACAGACCAGCTAACCACTCTCTCGACTGGACCTTGAACAGACCAGCTAACCATATTCTCTACTGAACCCTGAACAGACCAGCTAACCACTCTCTCTACTGGACCCTGAACAGACCAGCTAACCACTCTCTCGACTGAACCCTGAACAGACCAGCTAACCACTCTCTCTACAGGACCCTGAACAGACCAGCTAACCACTCTCTCTACTGGACCCTGAACAGACCAGCTAACCACTCTCTCGACTGGACCTTGAACAGACCAGCTAACCATATTCTCTACTGAACCCTGAACAGACCAGCTGACCACTCTCTCTACAGGACCCTGAACAGACCAGCTAACCACTCTCTCTACTGGACCCTGCGCAGACAAGAGTTAAGGCTATCTACAGCATCCACCTGCTGAAGATCTGCAGGATGGATAAATGGGCCCCCCACTGAAAATCAGGCAATGTGCATATTGGCGTCACCATTGTGGTGCCAGCTACCAGCTCTAGTAAAGGGCTATCCACAACATTCTTGGTGGTTGGTTTACCTTGTTTGGAATTACTTTTGGTCCCGCCCTGTGCTCAAAATTATACACAACCTGCATAACTATATTATTTCATACTCTAAAGTTTACACGGTTTCTTTCATGCTGATTGGCTGAATGGGTAGTCACATGATCTGGTATTTGGAGTTCACACACCCGTGATCAGACAGAATTTTTTTTTGTAAAACCGATTCTGTAAATTTTTGCCGGAACTACTTTCCGGTGTTTCCCTGAATTCTCGATCGGTGTCTACAATCAACCTTTTTCCTAATTTCTTTTTAATCCCTGCATTTATCAGCAATATTATTAATTTAGTATTTTTGCCTGGTCTTGTAACATTTCATCTGACTAAAAAAAAAAAAATGCTTTGGTTCTGGTGTTTAATGTCATCTAGCTGCTAGATGAAACAAAATGGATTGTCCTTACAGTGATTTGGATATGGAATGGCTATCTATCAATGCTAATAACGCAAGTGAAGAAAATGAATTCTGTAAAATTACTGAGATGAACGAAATTGATTTATTGAGTGAAATTGACATTGATGCATTGTTTTCGGAAATGACAGCAATATAGCACCAAGACAATATGTGAATGAAAACAAAGTGGCTGCCGACATAGATCAAAGTGAATGCTTCTGATCAATCCAAAACTAAAACCCGATTCACTATTGTATCGGGAAAAAAATCCAAGATTTTAAAAAACCATAAAACATAAAGAGGTAAGGAAAGAAACTTGAATTTTAAAACGAAAAAAACTTACCTACCTGTTTTACCGACTGGTCACTGGAAACGAGAAAATATCTGTAGACCGAATTACTATTCTGGTTTCTGAGTTGGCCGACCTTCTCCGTGCATTCTAGGCCGAGAAGTGGTGACACACAAGAAATGACGGGGTGCAGAAATGAAGCAGGCCCATCTCAGGTGACAAGAAACACCAGCTAAGCAAAGTAATACAGCACACATGACAAATCCCAAACTCCATGTATAACACACCCTGATGTTGAAAATTAACACAAAACACACAAGTTTCAGAGCACTCCATTCAATCCCCACCAGTCCATTCCACATCGTCCAAAATGGTTTGTGATTATCCAAACACAAGCAACATATTCATAAATCAGTGATATTCCCAATTTGCTTGTGTCATGGGAGGGTTCTTGCGTCAGGTGTTTTCCACAACTCTTCCATAAACTTCTAGTTCTGCAAGGGTGGAAACTGGACTTTTAAAGTCAGTTAACTCTCTTGCCTGATGGATTTCACCATAGTTAGCAACAAAGATAGAATGTTAGAATGGCTGAAAGCTTTCAATGAACAAGATGCCATAGATTTAGTGTGTTCTGCTTACAAATGGTTAAAAAAATTCAGAAAGCATTTGCATGAAAGAATTCATCATTCAATAGAAAAGACCGGGGTTAAATGCAAGAAATATATGATTTTGCGGGACACAGTATTAGCATTCAAGTTATTGGACGACGCCAATTTAACACAGAAGGATAGATTAGTCTTGACAGCTGCCAGTGATAGAAAGTTTTCCTCACTGAAACCAGCACTCAAAAGAATTTTTGGTGAAGCTTCAGGGACGAGGAGTGAAACATCAGACTGAAACTTTATTGGAACAAAGAAGGATACCGAGCAAATGGGGTCACTCAAGGAGGATTTATATTACCGGGTATTCCTTGCAGGAGAAGATAGCAGAGTATCTCCTTCATGCTGGAGTAGCACACTGGCGGGAGAAACAGTGGCCATGGAGACTTTGACTGACATGTTACAAGAACTACAAATCTCTGCAAGAAGTTCTGAAGTCCACAAAGTTGGTGAATGAAAAAATACTCTGAATTAGGTTTAACATTGTGGTGGGTGCTAATGTCCTGGCCACGAAAGATAATGTTATAATGTGACAATACATGTACCTTGACCCCACTGAGATAGACCCCACTTAGCTGGTGTCATAAATTTCAACCTGAGATCACCAATGATGATACCCCAGGGTCTTGTTGGGGTTCTTGCCATTTTATGATGAAAATGGTAATCATAAACTGACCATGCCTTGCCCCAAATCTGCATGCTGCCCTCCTAACTGCCTCCTCCGAAGACAATGGACTTGGTCAGGGTGCTTTAGGATGCACATTCTAATGAAACCATGGAAAGCTGATCGTCAGTCTCCTACACTGAGTGGATGCAGTGCCAGGTGTTTTACAGGTGTAGACATGGCTTGTCTAGCGTCATCTGTTGCAGTTTTGAATGACACACCATCCTCATACAAGAAGCTATCCAATGGTAACAGACAAGCAAATTTAACAAATCTTCTGCCTTATACGTGCACTGCAGTCATATCTATCTGGTATGTCAGTTGGGTGGAAGGTTGGATCGCCAGGTTATAATTACTTGCCTGACATATACAGCTGGCCACAGACAATAACCATGCCAAAGTGGGCTGTATTTCAGATGCAGGGGGTGAAGAAGGCAGTGTTTTGGGCACTGTGGTCTGGTGGCACTGTTCTTGGCCAATTTGAATGTAGATCAGGTGTATTAAGATTTGAGAATGAATTGATATACCTATCAGAGGGTAATATATCTCCTGGCTAACACTGGCATACACTTTTTGTGTGACATGAGAGTTTGCCAAAGGGCTGTCAAAAAGTCAAAAGTCTCTGCTGTCTATTGCGAGTATTTCAGCATTTGTAATCAGGAAGGATTGTATAGTGGCAGTATCCTGCGACTGATACGCAGGGAGACTTGTGCCACTCTGCCTATGAATGTGAAGTAGCTCAGCCGGGGTTTTACTGAAATATGGTCACATAAAAAATTGATGAACATCAAAATGAGTTGTACCGCTCTGAACATCAGTCATTTATAATTTTAAAGCCATATATTTTGTGAACATTATGTTGAACACAACTTTAATGTAAAGCGGCTGCCCTTTGTGTTCCAGGCGGAGCGTGGCTACTACGACACATACGAGACATTCAGTGGCTGTACCAGTGTGCAAGGGAGAGAAGCAGCCAAGAAAGAAATGTACAATGCTCACAATGACTACGTCCTTCAACTGAGGGCTTCCAACAAAATTGTTGACGAGTTCCATGAAGTAATTCCACAAGTATTGGAGGTATGTTATCGCTGTGGTTCTTTCAAAGTGTTGCAAAATGTTACAGAAACCTTAGTAAATGCTACAGTCTTGAAAGTTCCCAACATAATGCTCCGAGATATTTAGTTCACCTGACTAACAGTCAAGTGAGCATATGTCATGACTTGGCTGAGTGCCATATTCAAAGATATTTGCCCCAGAAACTCCTGGCTCAATGAAGCTGAGACTTAAAGCCCCACCCTGACTATAAATAGCCCGCAAGGTGGCGGTGTTTCAGTTTCGAACAGTAACTGACAATGTAAACACAACCGAGTGTGAGGGAAGCTTTTTGAGAACCGTATGTAAACAAGATCACCAAAGACTGTCAAACTTTGTATCAACTTGAATGACAAACCTTAGATACCACAAATGGCTCCATATCTCGATATAAGATAATAAATTTTCTGTATTTTTATCATAATAAATTGAATCGATCGTGTTTGAGCCTCTGCATCAACCACAGTGGGCGGAGCTTATTTAGGGTTGTGCTTAAATAGTAAAGCACATGATCATGTGTACATGTGACGCATTCGATGCATTTGTGGTCAAATTGTAGTGAGGTGTGTACTTCCCGGAGAACAGAAGCACAACAGATTTGGTAAATGTAACAGTAACGATACATAAATATGATATTGATTTGTTAGTTACATAAGCATACTCAACAACAAAAGTTCCTTTGACACCAATATTTGAGTGTATTTTTCAAACAAATAAAGTTTGGTTTTCAATATTGTACTACATGTATGGAATCAAGTCACAAAAACACAACTGCTACAGAAAAGCATGCATTCCATGTAAAAGTTGACTTTTATGCAAGCCCTGTGCATTTCACTACCCAAAAATGGGTATAAAAAAATGCGTTAATGGGGTTCCAAAATTATGCAATTATTCAACATTACGAAATGCCACGCCTGTCCGAAAATGAGCGTCTGCGAGCCATTGGTATGCTTTAAGCAGGATCGATGATGTTGCAAGACAATTTAACGTCCACAGAAACACCATTTGGTGTTTATGGCAAGGTTGGCAACAGACGAATGCAGTCAGAGACCATCCTCAGAGTGGCAGGCCACGCCGTAACCTAAATCAACAAGATAAATGGATTCGAATAACACATCTACGAAATCGATTCCAGCCAGCAACAGTGACTGCAAGAAGATTGTCGCCAGAAGACTCGCCAGACGTCCCATTTTGACAGGAAACCACCATCAAGCACGTCTACAGTGGTGCAGACAGCGTCTACGCTGGACGGCCAAGCAGTGGGGACAAGTTCTATTCCTTTTCACCTCAGCCACAGCGATGGACGGATTCGAGTGTACCGACGTCGAGGTGAACATTACGTCAATAATTGTGTCATGGAAGAAGATCGGTTCGGGGGCGGCAGCATTATGGTATGGGGTGGGATTACAGCAAGACGGAGGACCTGTTTGATAGTGGTAGTGGGAAATCTCAATGGACATCGCTACCACGACGAGATCATCGGCCCTGTTGTTCTACCGTTTTTGCGTCGTCATGGCCCAGGCATTACCTGACAATGCCTGGCCTCATATTGCTCGACTTGCTCAGGATTCTCTTCAACAAAACAATGTGAATGTCATGCCCTGAACGGCTCACTCCCCTGATCTCTCACCAATCGAGCACATGTGGGATGAGATGGATCCGCCTTTGACGTCAACCATGTGTTACACTGACACTCCAGGATCTTCGAAACATGCTCTAGCAGATATGGACAGATTTCCCACAGGACTTTGTGCGACGCCTGGTCCATTCCATGAGAAGAAGATATGTTGCTTGCATCGCAACCAGAGGTGGACACACACGCTATTGATTTGAAAATTGACATTTTGGCATGTTCATGTTTTTTATGAAATCACGCATTTCTGAGGTCAGTATGGCAAATTAAACCATTTGAACACTTACAGGAGTCTTTTATCTGTTGCAAACCGAAATTGTTTCAGATTTGGTAAAAAACATAACTTCCATTTAATCTTATTCAATGTCACAGGAACTTTTGTTGATCAGTATATAAGCAACAAAATTCTTTTCGTTCAATCCAGAAATGACATAGATATTTGGGTGACATATTTGTTTTGTTTTGGTCATTTGCATTCAACATTTATACCACACAATAATCAGATCACATTTTTAATATTTCAATTATTAGACAGATTTTTCAGCTAAAGTACTATCGGAAATGCTAGAAAACTGCTTTTTGCCTCTTAAAAAAGGAGGTAATTTTTCACAGATTGTTGTTTTTGAAATACCGAGTAACTACCTGTGGTTTGAAGTATTTCAGTCACAAGGAGTCCCATTGACAAGTTTACAGGAGACAACTTCATACAAAAACAGGAAGTTTACATTTATTCTAAGTCCAGTGATGGCAGTCTGAAACGGCCTATAGAAATATGCGCACGTGACTCCATTACAATGATAATAATGTAGTCTTCATAAAGATCTAATCCACACACAAAAATCATTTTGAGAAAATTCTAGATATGCATCTTCTACAATGACAAAATAATGCTGCTTTTGTTTTGTTGACATTGCTCCCATGATACATGTTACATCACACTTGCACAGCCAAAACCATGGTACACGATATGGAGTCTGTATTTGGAAATGTATACAAGTTCTTTACACTTAAGAGTGATAGAGGGAAAACATTTATTAATTTAGATATGGTGTATTACCGAACTGCCCAAGCTATATGGTTTTCAATTCATACCATCAAGGATATGATAAATATAGGGGTGGTTTCAAAAATAAAACTGGGACGTAAAAAGGATATTAGACAGCTTTGATACAGGGTGATTAGGCGTATAGTGTACAAGCTTTATGAGCACAAGGTAACCCTTACTGGTAGTAGAATTTAGGAGGAACTGAAGATACAATAAATGTTAACTGCACTAACTATTGCCCTCCAAGAGATGGGATTTCGATACACTGCTCGTGGCGATGACCGAGCACTTTTCAGGGAAAAATATTCCATCCTGTCTATGAGGTCACATTATCTCCGAACCTTTCATATCTATCACAGTCAGTGCATCAAGATAATTTAGCTTAATGAATCATTCCACTGACTATATGTGGCTATCGGCAGATGGCAAAGCACCCATTGACCATCAGGTAAAGGTAATTGTGTCATTGTTTTGCACGCTGCAACCCATGATATGGGGCTTATTGATGGATGTGTGCTAGTTTTTGAGGCGAAAAAGAAAACTGGTGATTTTCATAAGGAAATTATAGGAGGTGATGTGTTCATAGACTGGTTGGAACTTCAGCTATTGCGCATTTTAAACAACGTCAGTGTCATTGTCATGGACAACGCCAGTTAATATAACGCCGGGAATCAGATACTGTCAGCCAAACCATGAGTAGTCTGAAGGCGACTTCAGACCATATGAAACGAACGTTCAACTCATGGAGAAAATTTGGCTGAATAAAAACCCTGTAAAGTACAGGACATATGTGCTGGTGGCACAACACGGCCACATTGTCTTATGGACACCAGTCAGACATTGTTAGCTCAACCCTGTTGTGCCCATCTTGGCTAAGTGTAAAGGGTTTGTGGCAAGACATAACACAACATTCAAAAGTACAGTTTCATATACCTCATCAGCGGAGATAAATGCTGTCTAAAGAAATCATCTGTAGAACAACAAATACTTCTGGATTCCAATACTGCAACCTTCCAATACTCATCCCATTTCATAGCTCTTAACTTGTCCATAATGTTTCCACGCAAATATAATGCAGTACATATCCTTAATTTCTGCCCCTATTACCTCGGGTTATAGGCCATTTTACACAGGCATGACAACAAACGGATATTTTCTAAGTTGATCATCATTCTACCTGTAAAAGTACATTTTAAGGGTAATCACAGTGTCAGGTAGGACAGGCTAGATTAGAGCAATTTGCGTTATTTTGATATATGCTCTTTTTACAGTCCTATGACTCGTATTTATAAAATGAAGCCAGAAAAGCAGTTTTCTAGCATTTCCGACATTACTTTAGTGTTTTGGATGAGGCCTAATTTGAAACACCAATATTTCTAACAACAGTATCTGAATATGTCACATGTATCAATGTATATAAACTAGATGTTTTGACCTACCTTTACATTAAACCTATATAAATAATATTGTTCTTACAATAAACGAAAAATCCAATATCAAACAATAGTTATCATTGTTAATAATTCTAAGAATACTACCTCTATTGCATCTTTGCCATAAATCCTGTATTTTGGCTCCAATCACACTAACTAAAATTTTCAGACTTTCAATAGATGTCTTCTTCACTGTCAATTACACACAATTAGTTGTCGCCAAGTAGTCTAGTAACTACCCACGCCGTGACGTCAAAATGGCAGCCATATCACTTTTTTCCCTCATCTCCTACTAGAGGTAGATGAATTGGGGAGGTGGGAAGGAGTAATTCATATGTAATAGAGGTAGTATTCTTAGAATTATAATCAATAATAACTGTTGTACGATAATTTTTACGAAACTTCTCCTTAAACTTCTTCTGGAAACCAAAATGTACTGATTCTAATCCTACTGAGATAATTTCCTATGAAATTCCCCTTGAGGACTTGAAAATCAAAAACTATGTCAATAATCAGTCACATATGTGATATTGTCACTAGCTTTACCATTATATTTGCTGATTTTGACCACAATAAACATGGATTAGTGACCTATAATACAGGCGATTATGTCACTTCCGGTTATGCCGTCACTTCCTCTTTAGTGTAATGACGTCTCTTTAGGTCTATTTCTACCCCCAAAGATGTCATTTCATGGTTTCAGCTATTTCTGGTGCTGACGTCACTTCTGGTTTCTCTATCACTTCCAGTCATGACGTCACCTCCGGTTAATGGAGATAGATGACATTTAAGGTGCTTCTTATCCATCCTACACCAAATAAGCAGAGTAATCAAGGGTGTACTTACCCTCTGATGCTGCTGGTGTCAGATCCTC